CTGAAGCTAAAATCCCCTGTTTAGCTTGCTGAAAGGAAACCTAGAAAAAAAAAAAAACTGGTGCTTTCCTTTATAGCTAAAAATGTAAAGCGATGTAAATTGCTCACTAGTTTCATTTTTAAATGTCCATTGAGCTCAGTCTTAAGTGCTCCAACTCCTTTGAGATTGAGAACTAATGGCAGAAAAATGAACTTGTCTGGGCAAGTGTTCCACTTCTAGACAATACTTGGCCTGGGAACAGGATTAAAGTCTCTAAATAAAAACTGAATGAACTGCAGAAAGACAGAGCTGAGATTGTAGACCTCTCCTTTATTAAGCGTAATTAGCTGTGTGCTTAGAACTCAAACCGTATCCCCCGCACCTGCCACCCACACATTAACCACAGATGGCATTTAGATAAACACAAAGCACCAAAACAAACATCTCAGAGTAATGTTTAACTGCCTGAAAAACTCAGTTTCTGATGAAACAGAGAAGTGGCTTGTTGTCAGCCCTTGAACACACATTTCTTTGGGCATAACATGTAGTGTCACTGGGTGGAACAAGGAAATACTTTGGTTTATCTTCAGAAGGAGTCAAATATTAAACTGTGAGGCAATTCGTTGGCCTGTTGCCTGGGTGTACCTTCATGAGAAATTCACTTTTCTATATATTTGCTGTGAATGGCAGTGTTAGGACATTTATTTATAATCAGGATCTAGATAAAAAATTGGGACAAATAAGCACAATAAAGTAATAAACTAAGTTTATGTTACTCTAATTGTCAAACTGTCACTGCAGTGCAGTATGCACTGGTGCCACCAGGTCAGGCCTAACATAACATACACAGTTTCAAATCTTTAAAAGGGAACCTTATTGATACTTTCTGCTCCGGTTTTCTTTTTCAAACATGTCCAAATTGGGCTTTGCCTCTCGAGTAGCTTTAGTGTACACACTCTTATCTGCAAGGCCCACTCCTGCCAGGCTCTATTGTTTATGGAGTCAGGAAAACATGTCAGCCTGCAAAAATAGACAAAACATTTTAGGACTACAGGATGTGACATCATGTGGAAAAAAGAAAAAAAGTGCTGACAAAGAAAGCAACAGGTTGACCACACAAAACACATTTCTCAGCCAAACAAAACTAAGCAACTTCAGCTGTCAAACAGCAATACACCTCGAATACACAGGTGTGTATCTGAAGAGCAAATGTGCAGATATAACCTGAGTAAGAAGCTTACATAAATTTGTCAGTCAAAATGCTAACTTGAGGTTTTAATGTATTTATTTGAACTGTCATTTGTGTGGTGGGCTAATATACAACACAGCTTCAAATGCTTTTATATTGTGAATTTTCTCTAATGTTTCAGAGAAGGCTTTGAGAGAGCCATTACAGAAACCTAAATCTAGCCTGCTACATTCAACTCTAAGCTAATATTCACCTTTGTTTAGCACCAGTGCCCTGGTGGACATTTTTCTTTTATTTCATTAGAAACATCAGCAGTAGAACAGCCCCACAGAATAATAACACCACCACCATGCTTATCAGGAGGAGTTGGACACAGTGATTTAAAAGTCTTAGCTCAATTTCTCCAAAAAGCCTTTTGATCATTCCAGTGAAATAGTTGAATCTTTCTCATCTGGTCATAAAACCTTTTGTCCTGACAGTATTTGGCTAAGCATGAAGAGATTCTGCTTTTTTTTTTTTTTGTCAGCATCCTTTCAGCACTTGTTGATGTGAAACTTGTTATATTGGAGAAAGAGACACTGGTTTTCCAATAACTTCCAGTTTATCATATGATTTAGCTTGGTTGAGCACCACAACTAATCTACCTCCATGTGAGGGTGACAGCTTTGTCCAGATGAAAGACACTACGTTCTAACAGGAGAAAAGACGCCTAGTGTCCATCCAAACTCTTTTGGACCTCTGCTCAAGATGCTCACTTAAAAGTCAATGTGAGGTAACCATCAAATTTCTGATCAGCAGAATGGACAAACATCCAACTAGAAGCATGAGAATAATTAGAATAATTATTAATCAAATATGGTGTGTATTTATTTATGCGTGTATGTATAATTTTGACCCTGTGTGAATTCGAGAAATCCTGCAAAAATATTTTCTTTTACTGTCTTCAGGGTTTATGTTAGATTTTCAGTCCGCCACAAAAAAAAAGACAATAGTTCACATAACTCATCACCTCTCTCCCCCTCCAAACTAATTCATACAGGGTATGTAAACAAACCTCTAACCGTGTGTTGTTTAACCTTTTAACTTTCATTTCTTTTCAGCTGCAGAAACTCTGTCTGCACTGCATTTGAACCATGATAATAATAGCTCGAGATCTCTACAGATAAGGACGATTGTCAGCTTGAAAGATACGCCACACCTCTTGGAATGCAGACGTTGCCTGGTGTAAGTGCACAGGAATTTTCCCTCTAGATAAACTGCTACTCCGCTTCCTTAGCAATGAGAACTGGAAACGGTACAATTGAGAATCTGTAGAGACAAGTCCCAAAGGTGATGACATCCAGCTTGCATATGATGAACTCTGCTCGACTGCCTGGTTTCATGGGTATTTTGCGTAGTGGAAGGCCTACAATCTAACATATATATATACCAAAGTGGGTCTGTGTACGTAATCGTATCGAACACGTAAGATAAGTAGTCAAGAACTGCTTCAAGACGAACATTATAGTCAACGCTTGCAGCATAACAGCAAAACATTCAAAATATAAGTAAACATCACCAGCACCTAATTGGTGATCATAGATGGAGTTTATTTACTTCCCTACTCGCCCTGGAGATTTCCTATACGCTAATTACCCCGGCTATGACTAGGCAGCGGTTTGCTGCACGGGCCCTCGGCGGGAACAAGGGAAGTCGGTCATTTGAGCCTGTGACACAGTAAAGACTCAACAGAGAGGTTGTGGTTAAACATCAAAAGTGTCCCCCACAGTGTGGCTGTGTTTGAATGTGAGGGAAGGAGGAGAACATGAAAGCAGCTTTAAGGTGCAGTTGTCCTAGGGGCATCACTGAGTGAGTATATCAAACACAGCACGCTTCATATTTCAGTGGGTTTTGTTGGTGTGAATTTTTCCCATTCCATTGAAATGAGGTCCTTTCATAATAGTGGCTGCAAAGCCTTCCAGATAATTTACTCCATAAAGGTCTGTATAGGGAATCACGATAGACATGTTCTCTCTTCCAACTTCAGCGATCACAACTTTAGATCGAAAGTGAAGTATTTATTTCCTTAACAGTTTCACTCATGCTCGGTACAGCTGCTGTTAGCCGAGAGTGTGAAAAGTGTCCGGCAGCATGGAGAAAGCTAATTGGACCAGACACGTACACTGACAAGCATTGTTCCTGGGGGAAAGCTGCGCTCTTTCACTTGAGCTTGAGTGAAAGAGCTTGCAGAGAACTGAATGAGGGGTTTAGGAACAACTGGAGAGACAGTCCCTTTATCAGCGGATGCCACAGAGATTGTTGCTGAGTTACATCCGAGTAATGTGTGCTTTGGCGAGTTAAGCTGTCCAAATTGACAGCATTCACATGCTGACTGGGTTAGTTCTGCCCACAAAGGAAGCGCACCATGCATGTTCCTCCTTTCGTCACATTCAAAGCCAGTGCTACGCGTTCCAAGCTCAGCTGGATCCAGACAAGACGACTATTGTAAGGTCTGAAGCATGGCATGGAGTCAACATGCCACATGTATGGGCTGGTTACTGCTATCAAGTTATATCAAGATTTTGCAAAGTTTCGAAATCACAAACGTTTCTGTGAAACACCTTTGATGGTTTATAAAGTTCTGCTTAATGACACACCATACCTGTCTGTGATCAGAGATTTCTACATCAGTTTGGAGCATAGACTATCAGCTTTCCCTCATCTGCTGCGCTTAACTGTTGATCAGCTGGCTGAAAGAACACTAAACCTTTGTGTTGTTTACATACTAGACAAATTTGTTTGTAAGTAAATATGCTGTATTTGCCCAAAAACAACAACAACAACGCACAACCAAACAGTGAAAACTACAACCTGATCTATACCTCTCAGTCCATTCTACTGTCTGCTTGACATGGAGCTAGTGTGACGTAAGTATTATTGTCTGTACCCACCCATTAGGGACTGCTAGGAGCCTCCACAGACGTCCTTAAATAGCACAGATTTATTTGACCGGGTTGACTGCGAGTGCTGCCAGGACAATAACACTCCCGTTCAATGGGTGGTGCCAAACACAGCGCATTTTGTTTTTTTTTTAAAAAAGCAGCGAGCTAAATCACAAGCTGGGAATAAAAACAAAGACACTTGTTTTTTAAGAAACACACCGCGGCGAGATACTGGTGGTTTTCCCAGCGTGGATATATCACAACTCACTCACAAAACTAAATTGATATTCTGATGAGAAATTGCTCGGATCACTCTTTCTGGCTCTTCCCTTCTCAGCTGACAGCGTTTTAGCGAGTGCATCGTCGGCCTTTATGAGCCTGTAGTAAAAGCTGTGTATTACAGATGGTCGCGTGGTGGTTCAGCTGAGCTAAATATAGTCAGAAAATGAGTTCAAAGTGTTTAACTCTAAACAAAACCTTCTGTTTATGTTTTATAGAGTAAAACTGATGTGAAAGCAATTTATTTCCCAAGACATATTTGAGACCTAACAACTGATGACAGACTGGTAAACCACTTGGCCATATCCACATCTAAAGAAGTCCCAAAAACTGGTCTGACCAGTAATAATACTGTTCCTCTGTTGGATTAAAAGGCCTTAGAAGCCGGAATGGCCCCCGCTCCATTGTCCTCTCAAAGCTGTTTCCTCCGGTTCCTGTTTACGCATCCCCTCCCAGTTTGTTCACATTCTTTCACGAAGAATAAAGTGAAACCTTTAGCACTAATTGATGCTTTATTTAATGAACTGCTTAGATGGCGCTAACATTACAGGATATTTTATGGTCTTCTGGTTTTTAAATGTGGAACAAGCGTGGTGCCGTCGGCAGGGGAGATGCTGTGGTTTTAAACTCACTCTGAGGGTGTGTATGACTACATCCTGGGCCTCCAGTTCTCCCTCCAGGATACTGAGGAGAGTCAGCAGCTCTGCTCGGCTTAGAGCCTCCACGTTCATCTTCTCCACCTGAGATGAGAAAGACCGAGAATTAAACATATAATCAAACATAACGGCATTTCGGAAAATCAAATCCCAGGAAAAGCTCCGGGATTTGATTTCTGGCCCATACTGTCCTGCTTATTGTGTGTTTGATCGTGAGTGGTATAGAAGTAATTTACAATGAGACTTGGGGGTCCCATCTGTGGCCTCACAGTGTTAAACTCAGGGTTATAAACAGGAAGCCATTAGCATATCTGCCCATTTTATTGCACAGGGACAGGGAACAGTTGCCTGTTTTATTCTGTCTCAAATGTCAGCAAAAATATGTGTACGCTTTAGATCTTAAGGCTAATGTTTCATAATTTTCTGCACCTAATTTTTTTCCCCTTCTTTTTTAATTGTTTTACATCTGCGCCACTGTGCTCTTTATCTGATGTGTTGTGTGATTCATCTGCTATGTCCTGTGTGGTCAGAGAAGCCAGACATGACACACACATCCCACATCTGACCTCATCTATAAGAGTGTAAGAAACCCAAAACAGTTATCTCAAATTTCTGGAATGTGGCTGCTCCCTTCAGTGTTAATTAAATGTTTGACAAGGTATGTGTCAGCTGTGAAGTCAGATAACCGATGCTTGATAATAATCAGCTTATCGCCCCCTCCACACCCACCACACGCTGTGTTTTAATAAGACACCATGGTGCAAGAACAACTGACGTTGCACTAAATATTCCCAGAAGTAACATTATTCCTACTCAAGAGTTTGTCTAACGTGTGGGTCCCAAATCAAAAGCAGGCCTGCTTCATACTGTGTTGGAAAGGTTTTTCACATTAAAGTTACTTAATTAAACATATACTATCGGAATTTTACGTGACTGACAGACACAAAGCAGTGCATAGTTGCTTTGTAAAAAGAAAAGGATTCGTCGTTTATTAAACTTTACACAAAAACAAAATCTAAAAAGTGAAAATGTATTCAGCCTGGTTTATTTGGATACCCCTAAATAAAATACAGTTCAAGCAAATGTTCCCAGAATTCCCTTAATAGGATTCAAATGTGTGTTATTAATTGTCACTATTTATAGAACTGTCCCGTGAAGACCATTAGATTGCTTTTGGAGAATGTTAGTGAACAAACATAAAAAAACACCAAAGAACAAAGGAGAGAAGTCGGGAATAAAATTATGTATAAGTTTAAATCAGGGTTTTGCTATGGAAACAAAACCCTAAGAAAGAACTTTGTATGAAAACGGAAAGATGACGGCATAACTGCAAACCTATTAAGACATGGTTTCCATCTAAGCAAACAAGTAGAGCATAACTGACCGAATCAGCTAAACTCCGGAGGAGCTGGAGAGATTCATAGCTCAGGTGGGAGAATATGTCGAAAAGACAACTATTACTTGTCTGCTTTACAAATCTGGCCGTTAAAGAAAAGATTATAAGTGTTTAAAGGCATGTAGGAAAGAGACGAGAAACACATAAAACGAGGGGCTTGGGTCAGATGAGAGCAGAATTACAGGAAACCAAGACGACACATCACTCTGAAAACACCAGCCAACCTCGTGATGTGTAAATGCGTTTCTAAAACAATAAAGTGAAGCTGTTGAATCTGTTAGGACTTGATGGGAATAACTATGGATCAGAAGGACAAATTTAAGAAAAAAAACCCCAACAACTTTGTATTGTGCTATTTTGTAAATAGCACTTGGCGAAACTTGCAGTGCAAATAAGGCTTTTAGAGACAAACACCAAAAGAATACCAGCTGTAATAACATGCAGCAAAATGAGGTTTCAACAAAGTGTTGAATCCGAGGGACTGGATAGCAATGCCCAGCACACTTAACTTATTTTCAAAAAACTTTAAAAACATGTGTTTTTTTTTCTTTCCATGACACATTATGTGCTACATTTTATTAGTCAATAGCATAAAACCAGCATAAAGAGCATTTCAGCGTGTGGCTATAAAAAGTTAAAATAGTCTAAATACTTTTGCCATGCACTAGATCTTTTCCAACTTCTTTTTTTCAGTCTAATAAAATATTTGTGAAGCCAACTGACTAATTATTTAACAAACCTTCCCTTTTCATCTCACAGTCATGCAGTTTGCAAGAGTTTACTTTTTAACCAAAGCATTCCAAGCACATTCTCTGACTCTCCAAAATTCCTATGTGCTTTCTGTGGCTCACCGCACATTCACAACAAAGCAAAAGAGTGTGAACTAATTTACCAACTTGTTATGTATCTCAAGGGTGGCCAGTCTTGCCCAAACGCATACTTTTAAGTCAGTGAAAACATTACTGTGCATTGTGGCTGTCAGTCCTAACTCCCTGCAATGATACCTGATATCACGGCTTATAAATCAACTACCATGGAAAATCATTCCAGCATTCCAGGGATACCCACACCATGGGAATGGTCTGAAGTAAATTGCTGAGACCCACTTTGAAGCCCACATGCTTTTAAGTGGCAGCTTTGCAGTTTGCATAGATGCTGATAGATTACTTAGAAACTGCAGTGATATTATTGAGGTCCACATTTAGAAATCAGAGATATTCAAAGTAACTTACGGCTTAGTGGGGGGACAAAAATGGCAGAGTGAGAAAGAAGAAACTGTCACCGGATATAATTCATAGTTTGTTTCTACGTTTACTTCCATCTGTAAAGTTAGCTCAGGGACTAGTCAATCTAGATACATGCTGGTAATGATTGAGTGTGTTTTTGTGCTTTACACAAGATCACTGTGCTTGTTGAGGAGCAGTGGATCCACCTGCCGACATGAGCCTTTGTCTGATACATGGCTCTATCATTATTTTTTCTCAAATTATGCTATTCAGTTCAATTACAAAGTGACACAGGCCTCACAAATACATCACACAATAGCCATCATCCATCGACGGCCTGCAGTGAAAATGGCAAAATCAATAATGAATCATTATTGTTTAAGTACTATTACCATAGCTACAATTGAAAGAAAAAAAAATTGAAATCCCGTTATAGGTCAATTTATTTAACATCATAACTTCAAAAAATAAAATAAAATAAATACATGTATGCAATCCAGACAGTTTAACTTAAAAGTTTACTTGAATTGCAAAGCCAATCATCGTGAAAAATAATTATGTGACCAACACATGCAATTATCCATTTTTGCCTTTGAGCCATTAAGAAAGCTATAAGTACGAAATAAATAAGAGGTCCATGTTTACCCCGGGCATACCGTGTGAACATACCTTCATGCGCTCTTGTCTGGTCGCATTAATTGTTTCCCAAAACCAGAAACGAGACTCCACAACAGCATGAATCAATGCACTCCACTGTCACAGGCGCTCCTGCTCTCAGGCGAGCAGCGTGAACAACAGACTCTCATTGACGAGGCAGTAAGCCAATCAACGACGCGTAGAGCGACACACCAGCCAATAACTGTCAGGACTGTCGCCAGGGGGCGGTTCTAAGGGCGTACCCGCGCCTGTGGGATAAACCTCTTTGTTTCATCGGGACGTCCAACGGTTGGATTACTGACCACACAAGTGTAAAATAGTCCTTTTATTTATTATCTTCAAACAAATTTGGCCATGCTTAAATGTGTCACTTATCCTGATGAGAGGTTTCAAAATGGAAGTAAAATAGTGCGTGAAAAAGAAAAAAAAATGCTAGTTTATCTAAATAATACAAATAATAAAACAAAATGGGGGGGATCAAAATGTTTTTTTGCGATTTTCTTTTAACTAAACACGTTTATTTATTTTTTGGTGAATATATAAAACCGCCCAACCCGACTCCACTCCTTCCACAGCACAAGGAAATCCCGGGTCAGAATGAGTTGAGCTGTCGGCGATGCGTCAACTCCCCTTGACGGCCAAATAAGAGCAGCACAACACAGTTTCTATGAACAACACAGCGCCACACATTGAGGCGCCTGGAAATCTTTCCCCAACATTGATTTGTGTGTTTTTCTATTTTTTTTTTTTTTTTTTCGGAAGAAATGTAATTTTTCTAATTCAATAAATCTGAAATCTGTATTCCACCTGTCACGAGTGTCAAAGAAAACTGGGTTTGTTTGTTTTGTTTTGTTTTTTTCTTTTGAGGTCAGGCAATGAACTGTATGATATGTTCACCTCCGCTTCTTTTGTTTTTTGCTGTCACAGTCCATTATAAAGAAAGTAAAAAGTGTCGACAAGGATGTGACGGTTTTGTAATGGGATCTTGTGGAGTACAAAGGGAACTCCTAAATGTAGTCATGGCGGTTATTCAGTAGAAACTGAAATAAAATACTTTCCCTTTGTTATCCCCTTGTAAATAGTTGAATAAAGGGCACACCACGGGTTTAAGAAAGTTTAGGTGCATTTATGTATTGAAACAGATAATAAAGATGAGAATGTTAAGTTTATATGAAGGTCAGTGTTACCAAATGATGGACACACATTTTTTATTGGCTGAATAAACCATCTCCCCAGCATTTCAAATCATCATATAATGGTGCGTAAATACTTATAAATTTAAACTAAAGGGGCAACCAAACATTGTGAATCAAATTGCTATAGCACCTTGGAATTTATTGTTTTTATAAACCTCCTGCAGAAAAAGTGGAAAAAGAAGAAAAAAAAACTATAAAGCAAAACTTTTAGATATGTTGCAGATATTTTGGGTCAGGAGAAGAGCAGCTAATTTCTTTTGTCAGACCCCACACATTCTGGATACAAACTGTTTATACTGTATTACCTTTAGGTTGGCGCAGTACACACTGTTCAGAAACATCAGGACGCAGTTTTTTTTTTTTTTTTATACTATGCATATTATTTTTCTGACCCAGTTCACTGTTTCATTTTAAATGAAATACAATACATACAATGAAACACTGGTGACCCTAAAAGGCATTTATATAACAAGGAAAAATGCTACAAAATAAAAGGCACATACATCAAAAAGAAACCAAAATTGATCGTAAACATTTAAATATTTTGAGTTTCAAAATTGCTTGAATTGATGGAAAAGATTTGCACCTATTCTGTGTGTATGGTGGGACAATTCTAAATGTGTTTCTTTCTTTTTTTTCTTTTCTCTGTGAGATTTTATCTGTTTTTCCAGGAAACACTAACAATTAAACCCAAACAGCATAATACCCCACATCAAATCTTCTTGTACATTCTTGTACATTCGGCGAATCAGGACAGGAAGAATGAAATTCAACATTTTTGTAATAAAGAATTATGCATCTGTTAGAAAGCGTCAAGACGTAAGAATAGTTCATTTAGAATGAATGGCGGAACCAGCATTCACATTAATAGTCCCACTCATAAGTCCATAAAAATAATCATTCTTTAAATCTATTACTCAGTTTCACTCAGCTTTCTCATGCACATTCACAAGTGCTCTAGCAGTATTTTGTACACTCAAGCTTTGAGTCATTAAAGATTCACAACAATTTCTAGTGGAGAAGTGTGAGTAATGGAGTTTTCTAATATTTATTTTACCAGCCACTGGTGAATTATGGAGAGAGAGTACATACAGCAAATCCTTATCCATTTCTCATCTTCCTCTGATGTTGTCCAACAGAAACAGGTTTCTTAGGTCCTTGTATTCAGACAAAGTATAATGATTCAGTCTGTTAGAGAAAGATATAATAACAGCCCTCTACCAAGTTAATTTTGATCATTTGAGCTACATACAGGTTCGTACTTTGAGAAAAGCATGGAGGCTGCAGAAGACTTGAGACTGGGGCAGATTTTTTATTTATTTATTTTTCCCAGCAGTCAATACACTAAAAATGCAAACAGAACTACAAATAATTGGTTTAGCTCAAAGTACATCCAGGTGTTAAAATGATCTAGTCCCAGTCCAATCTTAAGTTTGTTTAAAGTCAAAGATTTGAGGCAAAATTTAAAATTGGTTTTTCCCTCTCCATCCATTTTGGGCTATTTTACAAAGAAAAATGAACAGAACTGTGAAAAAATGAAAATGGTTGAAGGGGTGTGAATACTTTATTGCATACTTGCTGAATATTGATACTTAAAGTATTTGTGTGGTTGGCCAAAGCCTAATAACTTGCAGTTCCAAAACTAGTTACAAACCACAAACCTCTTGAGTAAAATTTCACAAATTAATTCAGTCTGTTAACTCTGGTATGCTGTATATCTAAGTAACAATTTTAAATATTATTTTTATATATTTTTATTTGGCACCATTTCTTTTTGAAAACCTGAAAACACATTTATTTTTTGCATGCTAGCATTTGTCTTTTCTGTTACTTCTCGTATAGCAGCATTCTATGCAACCTAATGCAGCGTAGTCGGCCGTACTATTCACACTGCAAAATCCTTATTAGTGTGGATGCTGCTGAATAATACGACGAGGTGTTGTGAATTTGACACATTATCATATTAATTGTTCATTGTATAAATAAGTCAAATATTCAACGAGAAGATGAGACAACCTCGCTTGTCACTTGTCATTTAGTGGCAAAAACACGCTCCGCTCTGATGTGAAGAGACTGCCGTTGGCTGTTGCTGGGTCAGCTGAGAATAAATAGAGTTGTTTTCCTCATTTCCTCTCTTGTACTCCTGTGATCCCATGTTGGGAATGTATCAATGTCAGCACACCGAGCATGTGTGTGTGTGTGTGCGTGTGTGTGTGTGTGTGTGTGTGTGTAGGCGCCCAGCGCTTTGCCAATGTCTGACGGTCTGCCTGCAGTGCTACGCAGAGGGACAATAATTTGGTTTCTCCCTGTTTGGTTTCAAATCAATTTTGCAAACGTGACTTTCAAAGCAATCGAGAGACACGAGGTATTAAAGAGAGACTGAGGGAAGGATTTTTACATAAGTGATATTAAAATAAAGGGAAAGGGGAGAGATATGATCGCACATAAAAGCAAAAAGAAAACCACGGCTGATATCCGACGTTATTTGAAAATGTTTAATGAAACGCAGTCAAAATGCACATCATCACGCAAATAACTCTGCGTAGATGGATACTGAAACAGAGTGTAGATACATTAGTTTTGATGTCATTCATGACACATGGTAAATTAAGAAGTGTGTGGCAGCAGCTGGGTGGCCTCGCTGTCCTCCAGATGTTGTCTGGGAGAAAGTGATTGACCTGCTAATGAAGTCTGGGATCCTCCAGTCAGCTTTCCTCCTCAGAGACCGTCTTTGACATTGACAGCAACACCTGTCTGTCTGACCAGCTGACAGTAAAACTGAAGACATGCAGGACTTACCCTGAATCACACATGCACTAAAGTATTCCTCTATGGATATGAATCTAATTTCTTCTCTTCCCATTACACACCCACATTTACCAATGGAGCTATGAAACGCTGCCTAAAAGGAGAGAAGACGTTGCATTTGTGACTAACTGGAACCCCAGTCGTTTATCCAGAAACTTGGCAGAGAACCTGGCGACTGCCACTCTCTATAAGCAGCGAGTGTGTGCTTGTGGGTGTCTTTCCATCTTTGCATTTGTAAGCAGCGCACTGTGAGTCATTCTGGAGATAGTGGCCTCACCATGGCAGCTGGACAGGAGGAAGAGACATTTAAATTGGAGCACGGAGTGGAGGCTGATGACTGTTAGAGCATGAATTTGAATCAAAGCCATCACTGGGAGTTATTTTTAAGCCTGTGTCTGAAAGGAAAAAAAAAAATTGGCTGGGGGAAGAAAAAAAAATCACAGAGAATAAACAAGTAATTCTCATCTTTTCAGTTCACGAGACAAGATTTTTGCATAAAAGCCAACAGAGGGCAGTATAAGGTAATGGAAGACAGTCACCACTGAAATGAAAGTGGAGAGTGGAAAGTTTATTCACAAATAACCTTCTCTAGTTTGTAGAAAAAGGTCATATAATACTGTATCTTATTAGCATGACAATACATTCACACACTGTACAGTACCATCTTTCCCTCTAATGAAAATACTAATTTGCTCCTATAAACATTCTTCTGGTTCTGCCTCTTTTTACCCTGTATCTCTTTTTAATGTCCGTCTATTGCTGTGGCTTTTGCTGAATATTTTTAGTCCTCTTTGCATCATCCTAGATGCACTATCCTGACCAGTGTCTTCCAGGAAAAGCCACATTGCAGAGTTGAGTGGGAGTCATATGAGGACAGTTAATGGCATTCAGACTGTGTTAGTCCAAATGGACGTACTGGGACCCTGGCCCAGGGGAGCTGAGTAGCATTGTGCTGCTGCAAAGTCACTTACCTGCATCACCTGATGGCAGACCACAGGGACCTTGTATTTGGAATATTTTGCACAAAGACATTTGATCAAAAAAGAGAAAGTATAGGGGGAAAAACCATATGGATTTTACCTTAACAGAAAACAATCTCAACAGAGTATCAAAACAAAAAAAA